TTTAGGCGTGGAAAATAAACGTTTACGATCACAAAGACGTAAAGTACACGTTCAACAGTTTACAATGCTTACTACTCCTGTTATAATCTACCCCAAAACTGTAGGCAGAAATTACAGCTCTGATTTCATCCTGTTTAGTTCACTACTATAGACTTTTTTTTAATGTGCATAACTAATAGTAATAAAGTTACAACAAGAAGTTCAATACTTCTTCGTTTTATGATGAGCAACTCAACCACGGAGATCCCTGACGAATTCTATTTCCTTATTTATACGTTATTGCAAGTAACTTGTCATTTGTAAAACCAAAACACAATAGAATTCTATTATAAGAGAATAACCTAAAACCTTATATTCTTTGATAGCTGTAATATATAAAGTATATTCTATCTTGAGTACAAAGGAATAAAAGAGCTGACCCACTTTTTAAGCATTTTCCTTTCACCATTATAATATTTTCATTCTTCTGTTAATTCTCAGACATCGTTTCAAGACGACTGACTGCATGCATTGTTTCCTCTATAGTTTCTTTCACTAACGTTACTCCTTAAATTTACAACCAATGATTTATTTATTTGTGAAGGTTTGCTGCCACAATAATACGCATAACTTTCAGAAAAACAAATATATAATTGATTATTAGTGTATGGTCAAAAATATTGTAAAACATGTTTGTTTTTTCCCAACAGTCGATTTTAAACAAACAACGAAATTTTCTGGAGGATCTATATTGAGTTTTGCTTGTTGATCACGACACAATTTAATATGACGAAAGGATAGAGTCTCTAGCAGAATAAAGATTAACCATCATTTTAGTAGAATGTTAACAAATCTTTCTACATATTCTTTGTCTAGAAACACGCTGTTTTTATTATCCACAAGGAATAAGTAACAAATAATACAAACATTTACCCAATCGCTGAAAACCAGAGCCAACAAGAATAACACGAAAACAAGCACAGTAAGCCAAATATTAGATTTACTTATTAACCTTCTCGTTCATCGCCAGATAAACGGATACATACATTCAATGAACTTACAGCATATACACACGTGTTGTTAAAATAATACCATCTGATGCTCGGGGTCATTCAAACATCCTTTTCTTACATTGTATTTTAATATTGTGGCAAAGATTCAAGAGTGTTGGCGTGGCTACAATGTCAAATCAAGCAGCGATCTTACCTTTATGTTTTGTATCGTCGGCTAGTGACTTTACTTCACAGTCGCTCTACTACAGTGACGTTTTAATTGTGGGAGCCAAACATGTGAAGTGTGACACTGTGATTCTGGTGTGTGTAGATGTACCACTTCTAGTGGCACTGTGATTCTGGTGTGTGTAGATGTACCACCTCTAGTGACACTGTGATTCTGGTGTGTGTAAATGTACCACCTGTAAACGGAGGACTATTCACAGTATCTCTACTACAATGACGTTTTTATTGTGGGAGCCAAACATGTGAAGTGTGACACTGTGATTCTGGTGTGTGTAGATGTACCATCTCTAGTGTGACACTGTGATTCTGGTGTGTGTAGATGTACCACCTGTAAACGGAGGACTATTCACAGTATCTCTACTACAATGACGTTTTTATTGTGGGCAAAACATGTGAAGTGTGACACTGTGATTCTGGTGTGTATAGACGTACCACCTCTAATGTGACACTGTGATTCTGGTGTGTGTAGATGTACCACCTGTAAACGGAGGACTATTCACAGTCTCTTTACTACAATGACGTTTTTATTGTGGGCAAAACATGTGCAGTGTGACACTGTAATTCTGGTGTGTACACCTCTAAACGTAGGACTAGAATACCCCGTGAAATCAAACCTTAGGCTTTAGTTGTAAAAATAGAATAATGTGGTTTATATAATATCATTATTTATGTGATCAACGTATATAAAACAAATCATCATATATGATAGTAAAAACTAATAATACGTGCTTCATTCCCGTCTCTTCAGGTATTTTTCTAGATTTTGAAGTACTTCATATAGATAGTTGTTAATACACACTTATTTACGTGCATAATATATATATATGTTAATTCCGAGGCTTCAAACGTTATAATCCGACGTACAAAACTGGCAGTTTTCAGTGTGTAGGATGTTTCACTTTGTGTTTTAAATAAAATCTTATATTACGCAAGTTTTATCCACTTCGTTATAAATATATACGGTTTTTTCCGTGATCAGATATAGAAAAGAATGGTTGGTGATGAAATGAAGATTTTAGCCTAAGTTATAAATACCCTAATATCTACATAAATATAATAGTACTGTGTGTTGTATGTCCGCGTAACTACTTCGCAGTTGGTATAGATGTTCAACAAATCCATGCATGGGTACGTTCAAATTTTTAGTTTTGTATTTTGCGTTTTGCAGTTTTTACTACTACTTCGCCCTCTGTTGATAGATCTCTACCAGATTTAGCATGATGATTTGTTGGGTCCATGCGGAGATACATGCAAAGTTGCGGTTTCACATTTAGTGTTTTGCAGCTCTTATGGGCCTTTTTAAAAATTACATATAAGAGAAGCAGCTTTTCGTGTCCTAAGATAACCTTTCAATAATCATGAATTTACATAACGTCTGTCCAGGGGACGAGTACTCCAGTTGGTATAATAATATACAACTAAATTAATGACGGTAAAAACTAAGATCAAATACGTTTGGTAAAACTCATAAAGAAACTTCATGAAACCCTAATATTCTGATTTCGAAGCACTAATGAAACGTCACGTGATGATTACGACTTAAATGATTTTTAACGTTTTGTACGTTTTTAGTTGAAAATCACTTAGTTCATCCTTTCTACATTCAAAAAGAACAAATGGTGGATATGTAAGGGTCTACCCAGAGCATTGAGTCTCCATTAACCATACATTCTTTGAAATTAATCAAGTAAGTGCCTATACACGCTCATCTCAGCGATCATACGCTTCAGGTAGATCACTCACTGAGATTTTCGTCAGCATTAAAACAACTGTGAAATAATGAAAATATTTAAACAGTGCAAAAATGCTTCTAAAGAAGATTCAAATGCTTAGCCAACTATGTTAAAATAAGACAGTCTGTTAGGCATAACTATGTTAAATTAAGTTTAAGACAGTCTAATAGGCCTAGTTATCTTAAATTAGATTCAAAACAGTCCACTCGGCCTGACAAAATTAAGTTAGATTCCAAATAGTTTGATCGGCTTGACTAGGCTATATTGAAAACAGCTTGTATATGTAATTTTAATTTAGAATATTTCGTGACATATTTCTGTACTTGTCAGACAGTGTAAAATATATCATAATAACTTTCATTTACTTTACCCCTACCATAGTAAGTTTTTTTTTTATATTTTGAGCTTCATTGGTTCACATTCTCAAATTGTATAAATATCTACGAGTATTTACAATATCCCTTGGAAAAAGGTCCTCTTTATTATTATTTTCGTCACTTATTCTTATTTTAGATCTAGTAAGTATACTTAATTCAGATTTAAACTTAAGGTCATTAACGTTTTTTTAATACGATACTTCTATTCTTTTCTAAATAATGGTCTCTTTCACAATCGGATGACGCTTCAGCATGAATACTTTCCTCTATAACAACTTTTATTGGGTGTAGTAATTATAAGACCTTCTGAGTGAATATAAAGAAGTCTATAATAATAATACATTAACCATACCATATCTGCTATATCCAGCGTCGACGAGCCATTTCGCCCAATACCAGGGCTCTACAGATCGGGTGTGATACGACAGATATAGTTGAGGTTGAAACGCTATTTACATTATCAAATTGCATGAACAATAATTATTTCGATGTGAACTGGTGAAGTGTAGTGTTAACAATTTAAGTTCTTACATATTGGAATTGGGGTAAGAAATTTATAACACTATATGATTTATTTATTGGTACACTAATTTGTTTATTATTATTTCATTTTTACTTGGACTAACCTACTCATCATTCAAAAGTGCTATGAAGCCAGCAAGTTGATCTTCTTAATGGAGGTTTAACTCTGTCACTATCTAAGATTTGTTTGGAAATTTTTACTCACCTTGTATAGTTTTATCCTATGCTGCTCTGTTTATCCTCGCTACACTCACATCATATAATTGCATAACTATCATTATAATAAAAACAAGAACATATTTAGAAAAAGAATTGAATGATTTGTGACCAAATTTGGGTTTCAAATTGCAGTAGGTAATTTGCGAAGATTTAAAGATCAAAGTCGCAGACCGGCCAAAGATAAAACCAAAGCATGAAAGTGAATGTTGTTCAGGACAAATTAACAGTAATGGCATCCTATTGCTCATTTATTTAATTTAACTTTTTATATCTGTTACTTTCTTTCTCTTCTTCTGCCTTTCTTTTCCTTATTATCTTGTTATGTTTTTCTATTTCCATCTTCTTCTTGTCATCCAACACTTCCTTTTGCTTTTTTTTCCTCACAGACACTGACTGCCAAATTCTCACTTCATTGAAGTCCAATTTTGTAAACTTAGGGTAATTATAGAAAATATTAGCAAGCTCATAATAAACATTATATTATTATTCTGCTTTTGAATTTTTGAAATAATCTCAATTTATTTTTAATAGGAAAAAGTTTAAGATATGTTCATAAAAAAGTATAAAAATAAAAGCAATTGTAGGTTACAGAAAAAAATTAGCTTCCTTTCTTACTATCTTGACGTTTCGGCTATAAAATAAATAGAGTTAAGGAGGAATGCTTCTTTGTTCTTAACTATTAAGAAACTGAACTTTTCCAAAACTGTTAAAACTGATATCTTTAAAAATGGATATATAATCTAATGCACTAAATTAATGTTTTTCTTTTAAAAGTTTTTTGTGCTCTGTTCCACAATAAAACACGTTTTCCTGAAACTTACATACAAACCGAAAAGATTTTCGTTTCTATTTTTTACACATTGAATTATATGTATGGTGATCTCTACCATGATTGGCTTTTATTCAGTCCCTACAATCCAATAACGTTTCAGGAGACCGCCTTCTGGACATCCCTTGCCGAGTGTGCGGGGACCGAAGCTCAGGGAAACATTATGGTATCTACAGTTGTGACGGTAAGGAAACACTTATCTACGTAATATATACATATATTTACTATACATGATGGATGCAATGTTTTAAAAAGTAAGATGTTCATCAACAATGTAGTATTAGTAACGTGCTTGTTTAAGGTTTACCTGAAAGGAAATACTATAATGTTTTCTGCTTTTTCGTATGTTTTTTTTATACTCTTGTTCCTGACTTAACTATTTATTTGTATAATTTTAATTATACATAAATAATTTATGTTTGTTCTTGCTAGATAAATTGCTAAAATTAGGAATTAAGTTCAGGGTTTTGAACAATATTTTGCGGAAGAGATAAAAAATGCATTAACAAATTATAAAATATCTTAAAACATCAACTTAATATTCCACCCTTGACGAAGAAAAAAACCTTCGATAAGCCTATCTTTTCCTTATGTTCTTTTTTATTTCTATTTTTACACGCTCTCCAAGTACCATGTGATTTCTTGTAATAATATTGAATACATCATAATATTCATTTTTCAATAAAATTACATAAACTGATGGAAAAGTAGTCAGATGTGCTTGTATAACAAAATTATCGTTACCGAAGATATATTGATTATAATAACTGTGTCATCCTTTCAATTGTCACTTTTAATTTGATGGATTAGAAGTGACTGTTTGAAGCTAGGCCTATGTGAAAAACCACACCTGGCTGTTTGTTTTTCTCTCATTCGATAGATGAGATTTATGATGAAATCAAAACGTTTGATTGTATAACACTGATTGTTTTATATTGTAAGAAACTAACATTCAAATCATTTTATCAGAAAAAAGCAGTCTTTGATCCATGTAAAAAACAAGATTATATTTTCCATTTTCTAGGAATTGAAATACAATAAAATAACCATAAAGAATGATACAGAAATAAAATAAGAAAGCCTTTTCTTTACCTTCAGTCATGTAATCGTAAAATTAACACGTAATTGCCCAAAGCTGCTTATTCAGTAGAACCCCTTAGGCTTAGCTGATTCATATCTCTGCCAAAAAAGGAAGAAAGCTATTTTCTATAAGGGAATTATTTTTTGTACCCAAAAAAGAAAAATCTGAATACCTTTTTTCATAGCTAGTAATTTAAAAAATTTGTAGAGATATAAAATAGTGTTACTATAACTGGCTAAATTTAATTTATTTAAGATTTAGAATTTTAACTCATCAAGGTAGCAATGTGTTATCTTTCAAACATTGGGAATTAAACTTTTTTAATGGTAAAGGAGTTTATTAATGCATGTCAGTTAACATTAATATTCACATATTTGATTGTTGTCTGTTCCCACTTCTCGTATTATCACAAACATATGTATAAATATGTTCCGCAGTTGCTTTTAATCTTTTCTTTAACACTTACTAATCATTCTGTAACAAAATTTTAAGTTAAAACACTTTATCTTATACCTTGTGACGACATGTAATTGTAGAGTCTGATAAAAAGAATGAAAAAACATAACAATATATTAATGAAACTTGGGTTTCTATTATAGCGCATTACTTAAACAGATGAAGATGTCTAGATGATAACAGTAATGCAAACGATATTACATAATTTAACAAGCACAAGTATAATTTAAAACTTATGTTTCTATAAATGGTGTAGCCAGAGTTTTCCTATGTGAGTTACTACTAGTTCAGATCAGCAATTGGTTATTAGAAATATAATTGCACCCGTACTGTAATAAAACAGTCAAATAACTAAACAAACTTCCTATTCCAAAGCTTCATTATTATGTTTTCTAGGTGAATGTCAGTAGAATGCAATGTTTCACTGACTGGTGAACGAAAGTATGTTTTGGCAAAAGTATTTCAAAGAACAGAAAGCAAAACAAACTAGAAATGTGACTTTTTTAATAAGAAATTCTCTTCTGAGGTGCAAAATTAATTGCACTTAAATATGTATTAATTCTTTAGTTCACTGTGGCTTGAAAGTCTTCTTGACTTGAATATTACACAAGTGACTATTCATCTAACTAAGTAGTTCGTGCCCTGGAACCACACGAGAATTAAATATAATTCCTTTTCTCTTGTGTTAAAATGCAATGGGCGTGGTATGAGAAATTTGTATTTTCCCTTATCTTATCGGTCGCTTTAAAGGCATTAATTTAGTAAATAACTCTTTAAGCAGCATGTTAAAACCACTTTTTATAAATTATTAAGTAGTTAATTAGTAACTGTATCTCATTCTTTTACATCCATAATCCCTATATTATCCTTAAAGTGTTGGGAGTGTTGTAATTCCCCATTAAGCTTATTGGTTTCATTTTTTTCCCATTTTATTTGAAGCACATTTTTAAGCCAAAAACATACACATTAATAACTAGTTATAATACATAAGTATTTAGTGGTTTTGAAAGAGCTTCGGCCATTCATAGCTTAGATATTTATTAGACATTTATTTTAACACTACACAGTGCTTTCTGGATAACAAATACTTTCGAATAAAAGGTGTATACAATCTAAAATTGAATAAATTAAAACAGCAAGTGACTGATAAACAATGCAGCATTTTATTTCCCCCCTTTTTTTTTTTGGTTTCAGCTCTCAAATGTTTACGAACATGTGAATATTGTGAAATCACACAGAACTCAGACATGTCTACAGATATGATTTGAGATGTATGAATTTAAGTTTCATCTTTACTTTAATAAATTTATTTTTATTTTCCAGCCTAAGATGAATATTTTCGGTACATAAAAATAGTTGTTACCCAAAACCAAATAAAAACAAAATCCAGTACAATTACAATCTCAAGTTATCGTAACTATGAGCAAACAAATTCAAAACTTCATACACTAATAATCAGTAATAACCGATGTAATATGTTCAAAAGAGAAGAGTAATAAAAGTTACTCGTCATTTTCTACAATTGTCAGTCAATTTCTTGTAGTTACAATGTACACAATAGGAGCCTTTTTTTAAAGACTGAAACAGACAGCAGCTATGGTACACATAATTATCAATGGCACAACTGTTTCTTCTTCAAGCTGAAAAACGTGTGTGTGAACAAATACACCAATAGTATAAACGAATATTTGAATCCAATAATTTTAGAGTAAAATATCAAATACATAAGATAATTTGCAGTAGTTTTCACTAAAAAACTAAATTTTATAATAAACGATTTAATGACGTTTACGTCCAGAACCTTCGCATCAGATGGTAAATTACACAGAGCTCAATTCTAGTTTTGAATGTCTTTTGATCCTTATTAATCATTATTTGTAGGATGCTCGGGTTTTTTCAAGCGGAGCATCCATCGCAATCGAGTTTACACTTGTAAAGCTCAAGGAGATTTGAAAGGAAAATGCCCCATTGACAAGACTCACAGAAACCAGTGCCGTGCTTGCAGGCTCAAGAAGTGTTTCGAAGCCTGTATGAATAAGGACGGTAAGTTCCCAAATTTTACAGTGAATTATGGTGTACGTTTGGTTTAGAAAACGAAACCGCTAAGAAGGACGAGAAAAAGTTACAGGTTTTAGGGATTACGGCCATAGCAAACGAGGGCTACCAAAAAACAGACCTAATGAAAGCATTTATTTAATTCATATTATTATGTATATTAAAAAGTCACAGTAACACATTTATATATTTGATTGACTTTGTGTCATATTATTCTTAAATATATTACATTTATATCAAAAATAGCTGTAGAAACTTAATATTTCAGTCCCCTAGCAACCTCATCTATAATAACATTTCTTGACTTCTTCCAGACACAAATCAAGTATGACTACTTAACCTTCTTTAAGTGTACATATTAAAAATAACTGATATAATTTAGCTTACTTCGATTTACTTGTAAATGGGTGTGGAAAAGGCTGTTTATCAATGCATTTGTTTTGCATCCTTGTTCCTCTGTCCAGTGTTTCATGCACGTGTGTTTGTAAATGTTCATATGGATTTCTATCTATTTATTAAACTAAAATATAGATGGATGGATGGATCAATGAGTAGTAGCTATGACGGACTGCTATTATTCAGTTGTTATCTTATTTAAAAATGTTCTTTATAGAAAAAATCCTATTTATTGTTGTGTTTAATAAGAGGTTTTTGTTTGTAATTTTCTTCCGATTGACAAATAAAATAGTATTTATTTTATTTTGCGTTATTTCAGGACTTGTTACTGTTAGTTTTGAAATTAGACGTTTGTTAATGTGTAGGTTGCCTTTGAAGAGTCTTAGTTAAACCAGTTAATCGTACTGTATAAAAACGTTTTGCACATACTGATATTGTGGCTTATCGTGAAAGATGCGAGCGGTGATGCCAATGGCGGCATATCTAACACCTATATATCTGGTTCATGTGGATTTCCCGACCCTTCGTCGTGCACTGGATGGATGGATAGATGATTAATTGCTATGGCGGACTGCTATGGTTCAGTTCGTAAATTTAGACTTATGGCTATAAGTAATGACACAGGTACTTCCAAGACCAGATGTTCGTGTGACGAGATTGTAAGGTTAATAGACGCAACATTTCGAAGAATGTTCTCCGTGGGAACGAAAAACCTCGCACTGCAAAGCGTTTAGTGTAGCAATGAGCTCAAAAATTATGCCCTAAGCCAATTCATAAAAACGTTTTCCTCCGCAAAGTGAAGGCTGTGGTTACGAAAGAAAACCGCAAAAGCTATTATGATGAATGTGAACGTATCTTGTGGTACTGTTAACAAAATAATAAACAAGAATTTGAAGCTTTTGAAGACTCATAAGGTAAAAGTTCACAAACTTCTAGTCACAAATCAAATTCAACTACCGTTTTCATAAAAAAAAACTGACCAAACATTAACTGGAATCATGGTGACCTTATTCAACTAGGCAGTTGCAATTTATTTATTTCCTTCAGTCTGCTCAAATATCATCTTAGAAGCTAAAGTTCACGTACAGTGGAGGGTCTCAAGAGTTTGTTACCATGTGAAATTGGGTTCAAAGGTTAGCTATAGAAAGTCGAAATGACTATTTTGTCTATTTATTTCAAGTGTTCGTGCAAAGCTACTCAAGGGTTGTCTGTACTAACCCTCCTTGATGTTGAACCGATAGACTAGAGGAAAAGCGGATAGTGAACAGCGCCCACCGCCAACTTTTTGGCTACTTTTATGAACCACGAACTTTCGAATTCATAGTCTGGGCCACTTTAACCACTATTCAATGCCAAACCAAAAGATCTAGGTAATGGTAATGAAATATTTTAGTCCCTTTATCAGGAAAATACTTTAACTTAAGAATTAATAAATTAAAGAATTACTTAAGCATTCAATCTAAAATAAATGAAATCACTCTGAAATATGTTAAAGATATCTCTGCCAAATATAATATCACAGAGAATTTTAACAAAAGGTATTAACACTCATAATTAAACATTATATTATCTTTTTAAAGGGTTAAATGAGCAATTTCTAAAGTTATATAAGAATAGGATGAGAAGAAAGCAATAAAGTATATTCTAGCATTACAGCTGTTGTGCTTTTATAATAGTGATTGCCCATTTGTTATTCTTTATTATTATTTAATATTACTCCACCAGCCTAGAGCAAAAATGGCTGTGAGTATTGTAATAAAACTTGGACATTATTACCAAATACATCATTGAGCATTATGTGAGTTAGTTTTTAAGTTTATTTGATTACCTAGCAAATATCAGTGGTTGTATAACCCTTGACACCCAATCGTTTTATTATAGTCTGTGGTTTATATGGAGCCTCATAATCTATGGAGCTGCATGCAGGCCGTGGATATAACTTAATTTTTATATGGTAGGCATGATACATGTAGCATAGTGATTATTAACTTATTGTTGCAACTGTACTGATGTCGAATATCAGTTGTTTATATATAAGGTTCCTGCCCATTCGGATACTACGATCCTGATAGGATAACCACTGCATGCGTCTAGGCTGACTCCCGCAATAGAAATCTTTAAGCCGTAATTTGAAAGATAACACTAAACTGAGTTTCGAGTATCGGATCGGCAATCACGGTGATGGCTGATGGTAAGTGTCAACACTGCGTGAGTGCGAATTTTGTAGATATTGTAGATAGAGTAGCCATTTTTGAAGCTGACTATAAGGAATGGCAAGAACCGTGCAAGCAGGAGATGGCGAAAATGATGGCGATTCTAGGCGAAATTGAAGCAGAAAGTATATTAATATACTCAATTCATAGTTGTTAATTGACTTGTTTTCGACCTTGTAGAGTGTGTCACTCTAAGAGGAAATCTGGCCAGCTGCAACAAAACCGTGACCGGTCTAACTATGTATGGTCAGCGGAAAGGAGGAAGAGGAATGTGGGAATATTGCAACTATAAGAAATATTCAAAATATTATTTGTACACATATGATATTATATTATGACCCATTGTCTCATATTTGCATTGAATATATATGCCTGCATCTATACACCTTTAAAACTCCATATGGCTATCTATGTATAGGGCTTAAAAAACTATAAAGCCTGTATGTATGTATATATATATATATATATACTAGTCAACATGCATTGCATGTGCATGCACGTATAAAACTCATGCGGTTACAAAATCCAGTCCATGTACTATTCCAGTATAGTTTACCGTTCCAATCCAGTGTGTACAGACTTCTCATGTAGCTACAGGGTATAAATATAATAGGTATGTACATTTTATCAAGTATATACATAACATGTGGTATCTTGATCACCATAAATCATAGTGATCATACATACAGTACCACTAGCAATGATAACATTGTGGCAATGATATCAGGAACAATAGCCATCCAATATGTATGAAGCCAATCCACAGTTTGTCATTGTTTTCCAAGAGAGCATCGTACACCAACTACATATTTCATCAAACTAAACTGTTTCAAATAGGACAGTATTGCTATTATAAAGACTTATGTCCATTATGAGCATAAAAAACTAAAGTTTTGTTTGTAATTAAGCACAAAGCTACACAATGGGCTAACTGTGCTCTGCCCACCACGAGTATCGAAACCCGGATGCTAGCGTTCTAAGTCCGCAGACATACCGCTGTGCCACTGAGGGGGCAAAACTAAAGAAACAGATTATTAAAAATTGTTAATTTAAAAAGGGAGAATAGGGACCTTCAAAAAATTACAGAAACAAAATAGGTAGCTAAAAGTGAAAATGCAATCGCCGAAAAAGTAAACAAACAAGCTTAATGTTTGAGACATGGTGTTGACATTATTTCCTCAAGCTACAAATCCCTATTTTTTTAACTCTATGTCCAAAAGCTGTAATATTTAGGAAAGTTAGAATAAGGATTTGTAGCTTGAGGAAATTATGTTAACACTATGTCTCAAACCTTAAGCTTGTTTGTTAACTTTTCTTTGCAATTGCATTTTCTGTATTTTTTAAGATACTTATCCTCTCTTTTTAAAAGAATTTTTAATAATCTTGTATTAGAGGATGTGGCCTTGAATAACATAAAAGATCATTTTTCTGGTAGTTTATTATTGTATCTACATGTTATCTTGCATGTTTTGTAGGGAATTTTATGTTACATTAAACACGGATAAAAGGTAGATCTACTTCAGACGAACCTAGATTGTAGTTAACTAATTTCTTTATGGGCGTGTGGTTTATTTGATGTCTTTACACATTTTTATCCTAACAATATATATATAGTAAAAACGAAGGACGAACAGAAATACGAAACTTTTGAAACCTCATATTTTTTAGAATATAAGTATGTGGTCATTTATTAACCAGATTATTTCATTCGACATTTTTAATGATAACTCACTGGTTATTGTTTATTTTCATATATTTGTGCAAAGCTATTTGCGCTAGCCCTACTCAATTTTGAACTAATAGACTAGAGGAAAGAAGCTGATCGACACTATTTACCTCTAACTATTGGGTTACTCTTGTCTGACAGAATAGTGGGATTTGACCATCACCCTTATAACTCATGTATGGTCCCAAAGTGCGGAATGCAATTGTTTTTGCGCCAAATGGGTGCGAACATAGGATCTGCAGATCCAAAATCGGGTATGCTAACCACTGGGTCACACTCTGCCCCGAAATAGAATGAATGCTTCCCAAGTAAAATACAAACTGGATCACCTGCCAATTGCTTCTTGAAGCCCCTGCAGTAAGTTTGAAAGTTTATCTTTGCGCTTAACAACAACACAATTTAATCCATTACAAATGCTAACTAATAATATAGAATATGAAATCACTTTAAAATAATAACAGAGAAACAGTGTTAAAGTAATGAAAAAATAGCTCACCTGGGGCATAGTGTTGCCCTGTGTCATGTTTATTTTACTTAGATTAAAAAAAAACAAGTGATTAGAAACAAACATTTTAGAGAGAAATATTGATTAGACACAAAATGAAGTTAATAAGATATTTGTGGGGTTTTATGCCAATCCTCCTTCTGGAGGC